GTCTCACTGTGTTGCCCAGGCTAGAGTGCCGTGGCATCAGCCTAGCTCACAGCAACCTCAAACTCCTGGGCTCAAGTGATCCTTGTGCTGCAGCCTCCCGAGTAGTTGGGACTGCAGGCATGCGCCACCATGCTTGGCTAAAATTTCTACATATATTTTTAGTTGGCCAATTAATTTCTTTCTATTTATAGTAGACATGGGGTTTTGCTCTTGCTCAGGCTGGTTTCGAACTCCTGATCTGGAGCAATCCGCCCACGTCGGCCTCCCAGAGTGCTAGGATTACAGGCGAGAGCCACTGCACCCGGCCTGTTAGAAGAACCTTAAGGCTTCTAACCCACATGGAAATTCCTGACTTAAGGGTAACAAATAGTAGGACATCAAACCTACCTCTGAACCCTAAATAGATAACCCTTTGCCCAGAGCTACTTTCTGGGTAATCTTTAGGCAAAGATGGTGACGTCAACTCTGATCTTCATTTTAGCTGTGTCCTTTCTCGTGAGTGTCTGAAATAGCAACGAACTCTCAAAACCAGTCCTTCTGCTTCCCATTTATGGAGGCGGCTGTGGTTTCACTGGGGAGGTGGCAGACAAGCATCTCTTCCATCCAGGTTGCTCTTCCTTGCTTTTTTTTATTTCTGTCCTGTTGTGGGGAAAACAGAGAGATGGGGAGAGAGCAAACATTGTTCCGAAATTTCAATGAGTACGGCCATTATGGAAAACAATATAGAGGTTCCTCAAAAATTTAAAAACAGAATTATTATATGATCCAGCGATCCGACTATTGGGTGGGTATCCAAAGGGAATGAAATCAGTATGTGTGAGGAAGACGTGCACGCCCATGCGCATTGCAGCACCATTCCTAACAGCCAAGACATGGGAGTTACCCAGGGCTGGGAAGATGTCGGTCAAAGGACACAAAATTTCAGTTACATTGAAGTAATAAGTTCAAGAGATCCGTTGTACAACGTGGTGACTATAGCTAGTGTATTTTGAAAATTGTGGACAGTCGATTTTAAGTGTTCTCACAACAAAAAATGATACGGGAGTTAATGCATGTGTTAATTAGCTTGATCAAACCATTCCACAGTGAATACATACTTCAAGACAACATGCACATAATAAATATATACAGTTTTTTTTTTACACGTCAATTGCAAAAAACCATTGCATCGGAAATGGTTCCTTTCAGATTCTTCAGGTCATTATGTCTGAGAATGTTTTCATTTGATCGTCAGCCTTTTGTTTTTGTTGTTGATTGTTGAAATCATTGTCTCCAAGTTGGTCTCTCTTTGAGTCTTGAAATCTGACAGGATAAGATGAAGGAGGGAAAAGGAAACAGAGATAAGGAGGCCAAGAGGGTCAGTGAAGTGGGATCAGCCTGGGGAAGGGACCTGGAAGGTTCTGCAGGTCAGCAGGCTGAGGGCTCTTTAGTGGCTTGAATGGAGATGTTAGAGGCAGGTGGCTGTGGGACCTCCGTGAGCCTGATCCCTCTGCGTGTTAAGTTTTGTGTGTGTTACATGCGCACACTCCAACGTGAGCCATTTCCTACCTTGCCTGTATTTAGGGTTGCCTTTGTTACTGACTGGTGGAATAAAATGACACATTCACAGTATCTCGTCTACCTGGTTCCAAAGTCAATGGGACTAATCTTACATTTTTGACATTGTTATTCAGGTGATTTCAACCCAAAGAAAACTAGTCCGCCACTGCTTCTCTGGCAGAGTAATAATGTGCTCGCTCTCTCTTCCTCTCTCTCTCTGACCCTCTCACCCAGGGCTTTTGAGATAAGAGAACAGGTAACTGGGAGGGCAAGGACTGAATCTGATTTTGTTCTTTTCATAAGTCTCCAAGGTTTTTGTCTAGTGCCTGGACAAACCTTGAGGGGGTCAGGCTCCTGAGTCGAAGTGAAACTGCCTTTACAAATCAATAAAAAGGGGTGCAAGGCGAGGACCATAGTAAGGGCCTGCCTCAAAATAAGGCACAGGCCTTGCTAAAAATAATGATGCTAATTGGCCACTGTCTCCCTATTTACTTCTGTGTAATTGCCACTCCAGAGCCACCCAGCTGGTGGTCATAAAGATAAGCTTTCTCCATAGATAATGTCACCTATTTGAAACCCAGGGGTAGTTTGTGAGACAGCTTCCAGGTCCCACATTCAGTGGAATGGCCGAGCCACCCAGCAAGGAAGATAATTTCTACAACCCTGTGGTTCCTCTTCAAACGCAGCCAATTAGCAGATTCAATTGCCTATGCGGAACTGTCTTCCAAATTCTCAGGGAGGCAGATTTGAGAAATTTCTCCTGTCTCCCCATTTAGCACTATGAAGAATAAACTTGTTCTCTGCTGTAAACCCTGAGGACTTCAGGCTTCTTTTTGGGCAGTGGGCAAGTGAACCTGGTTGGGCAGCAACCGACGGAGAGATTCGATGCTCTGTTGATTTCTGAAACTGTAGGGTGTTGGGGCTGTCCATTGCCATGGCTCAAGGGGATGATGTGAATCTCTGCAGAGCCCCTGGGGACTCCGGAGAGCCAGGAGACCATGAAGATCTTCTCTGTTTCTTGCATTCTTGTCCCTTCTGAGGGAAGGAATCGGACAAGGAAGGAGTGAGAGTGAGAGTCCTTAGAGTCGGGCTCTGGCCCCTTTTCCCCCCAGGCTCCCTCCTGCCTTTTGTCTCAGCCAGTGTCAAGCTACCGGCCTGCAAGTTGTTCTGCAGATGGCTCTGCAGCAGACATCCAGCTGGGCCGATTTAACCCACCAAGTGTTTGTGTTTGTGTTTGACAGCCAAGACAGGGAGCAGGAAAGCTGTTTTCATTGGGATCAGCCTCAGTTGTTTCTCCAAAAGCAGTTGGTTGAACCGTTCTGCTGCTTTCTGGAACCATCAAGCCATGAAGTGAAGTTTGGATGAAGGACAGATGTATTTATCCAGGAAGGAATCCTGGTTCTTCTTCCAAAAATGTTCAGTCATTGCCTGTGCCAATAAGTGAAACTACTCCCCCATGTTCTGTTTATGTAGAGACTATTTCTGGGGGAGGAAATAAAAAGAAAAAAAAAACAACAAAAACCCTATGACATTAATCCTCCTTTGCACTGAAGCAAGTAAGTAGCAAGTGTCGGTTAACATCCATTTTATAGATGAAGAAATAGAGGCGGGAGAAGTGAAGTAGGTCAGCGCTTCTCAGACTTAAAAGTATTTGGGAAGTGCCTAGGGGATCTTTTACAAAATGTAGCTACTGATTGAGTAGTCTGGAGGGGAGACCTGAGACTCTGTATTTCTAACACAGCTGTGGTGATACTGACGCTATTGATCTGTGATCCACACGTGGACTTGGGAAGATGTCAATTACCTAGGCGTGGTGAGTTAGTGAGCAGTGCATCACGTGATGTTACTTGCCTCCTTCCTCAGGAAGCGAGATGGAACAGTCTTCTAATCAAGGCTGTATCTAAATTATTTCAAAACGGTTAAAATAGGAAGCGTTATCATTTATTGGTTGTTCTGACCATATGGCACAAAACAACCAGCTAGACAGATTTGGGTTGCAGCAGAATTAGCTGGTTAAACTGGTTTCACGCAGCCATGACCATGGTCCGCCTTAGATAACGGAGGCAGAAGCAATGGCATCCAAGCATCAGAAACTCAGTAGTGCTTAGAACAGAAGGTATTGCCAGCTTATAAAGTTTTGTTTCCTTCCAACTAAAGCCCATAAATCCTGTGTGTGTGCACGTGTGTGTTTGTGTTTGTAGAGCCAATGTTGCCCTGTTTCTCACTGCACTGCTGTTGTCTATTTCCTTATAACATGTAATCAGAGCAGAGCTGGCAAAAGCCAATCTTTCCCATGTGCTGCTGCTCACACGGATTTCACAATTTGGTGATGACTCACACACATCTGTGTGGAAACACACGCTACTACCCTCAGCTGCAGTAGTTCATGCCTTTCTCCTCTCCCCCCCGGAATATGATTACCCAGAAGTGTGTAATAGTCATCTAATGGGGAGCAGGTGTAAGAAGAAACGCACTCATTTCGAATAAAGGGAATGGATGTAAATTGCAGCATGAGGGATTGAGGTTAGACATCCACATGCGGGGAAAATTCTCTTCTGCCAGTAAGAGCAGGGAGACATTGGGACACAGGATGAAAGCAGAGTTGTTGCACATTCTCAGGGCATTTGAAAGAAAAGGGCAGGTGGTTTTATTTCAATGCTTTCTATACAGCTCCTCTCAGAGGGAGGCGAATGAATTCTGCAATGGCTGGAGATCATTTTCAGTGCTGTGATTCATGAGAGCTGAATTCTGGGGACATCTGATTAAAAACCATGTCAAAGAGCCACATATTCCAGAGATCCTTTCTGATCATCCTGATTGATACTGGGATGTCATTTTTGGCATGGTGGGGGGGCCAGTAAGCATTTGTTAAGACCAGTTTCATGTAATGTCTCTTTTTTGGGGATGATTTTCACCTACACCTTCAATGATAATAGAAACGGTCTTTCCTAGGGGTTTAAACATATCGTAAGTGGAGTATCATCTGGAATACTCAAGGGATCTAAAGAGCCATCAGATATTCTTTCTTTCAGTATTATTTGTAATCTTCCAACTTTTAATAGTCTATACAATTGTCCTTTATTTTCCTTTCTAATTGGAATTTCAGCTAGGGATGCCTAGGGAAATTGACCTCACTTTGAATGGTTTGGCGCATGAAGCAATGATAAGGATGTCCATATGTTGGTCCAAAATTGCTACACTGCTATCACTTTTGACGTTATACTATATTAAAATCTATGTCTTCAGAGAACGTGACAGTGCCTAAAAATAATGAAGATTAAACTTGCCAAGCTTTTGGAAGGATCCTGAAAATAAAATACTGTGTGCCTTCTAAGTGATGAATGATATCTTCTTATAAACAGCATCATAAGATCACATACACGCGCACGTACACACACACACACACACAATCACATAAAGAAGAGAAATGGACATTTGAGTTTCTGGTGACTATTTTCTAGGTCTATTACATATGGGATCAGCAGCAGTGTATGTTCAATGAAATTCACAGCAGGCAGATAGGAATGTGAAGAAATTCTACAGACCTCTGGGAGCCAGATAACTCCAGTATCATGAAGGTAAGCAAACTCCTAGCCTTTGAAAGCAAGAATGAGGAAGGTGGAAAAAAGAAGATGGGAAAATGGATAGTTGGCAACCACAGGCCTAAGTTTTCAAGATCGTTGCATGGGGAGATTTATGGTACCTGGATTCCATACTTTTCTCTATAGTTTCTATTCCCATCGCAGAATCGACCTCACAATGAGCTGACCAATCAATCAGGCAGGATCTGGATGAGAAAACTGTATTCTGTGGTGGTGATTGTTTTTAGTTATTAAATCCAAGTTAGCTAAAGCTAAGCCAACACGACAATTTATTCTCATCAGCTTGTCGGATTACTAGGCCAGTGAGATTGATAAGTATTTGGAAAGAAAAGAGATGAAAATTTTGTCCCTAGAACATTTTTCTTATTCCACAAAGTCTCAGCAATTTGGACTTCATGGATCATTAAATACCAAAATTTTACCAATCAAAACTTTTCCAGGAAAGATGTGTCTAAATTAAAAAACAAAATCGTCCAAATAGAAAACAAATTAATCATCATTTATTTTAACAATCATTTCATGAAAGTGAAGACATTTGAATGCTACAAGTATCAGAAGGAGGTAATCTTAGAAAAAAGGATTATGGTTACTTGGTGGGGACCAGTGACAGTGTCATCATGGACCAGCCCTGGCCAACTGATTGGGATTTGAGAACTACTTTGGCAAAAAACAGCTGTTTGTTTAAAAGTCCATCTGCTTGAGGGGCCGGGGTCACTTCTGAAGGTCCCTTGGACACTGGCTGTTGGTAACCTGCACTGATGAGACAGGCCATCGAAATTAGAAGCATTGCAATATTTTGATAAAAACATTCTCCTCAATGAAAGCTCATGTTATTTTTACTGAGCCATGCTTGAAGAATTTCTCAGTACCCAGCTTTTTGTTTCCCCAAGATTTAGGGATTCTTTGGCCCTTTAAAATATAGAAAGCTACAAAACCTTTTATGGGGAGGTCACATACCTTCTAATCTAAACTCTCCTCTGTTTTCCACCGTTAGAAGTATGAGATGACTTAGCAGTTCCACTGCAGAAACTTACGCATCTTAATGCTTGAAATCAGAGGTTGTCCTATTACTATTATTATAACTCTTAGAACTCTTAACTCCTCTTACTACTGTATGATGTGTCAAGCTTTCTGAACCAAGACGCCTTGGTTGAGATGAAATGAACACCAATACCAGAGGATTGAAAACCAGTTGGGAGTGCCTAGGCTAGTCATATATATATCTTCTATTTTGTACCTCACCTACGTCTAATAGTCTAATTTTTCACCTAGATTTTTGAGATAAGTGTCCCAGAACCAAGTTCTATGTTAATATTATACGCATAGCAATTGTTTTCCATAAGAAGGTCCAGGCCTAACTTGGTAGGGATTACACAGAATAGTACAGGAGGAGAGACTTGGAGAGTGTTTTATAGAGGGAGGGAGGGAAGGCTGGGGAAGGGTCCACAGAGGAATTCAAGTTGAATTGCAGATGTCTGAGAAAGGGTCTAACAGAACCCAGAAGTGGAAAATTGAGGAAGATGACAGAGTTGAAAGGTACAACAGTATTTCAGATAAAAACTTTAGGGATTCCTTCCAGCGCTATATGGGTTGCAGTTGGAGCCAAGCTGTAGGTTTTGTGTATAATGTGTTCCACAGCCGTTAGGAGATGCCAGATGTGTGTATGTATTGTGTTCTTTGGAGAGACAGTGCTAATGAGAGTCTGCACGTGTTCACTTCCCTACATTTGCAATCAGCTACAGCTTTTGGGGGCCCAGGCCTCAGAAGGGCATCTTCCAGGTTCATTGCCCCAGGGGCTCCCCTGTGGTGTGCTGTGATGATAATTTTGGCAAAGACGATGTGGTTGCTTAAAACATTTGCTTATTTAAATATTACATGCCTGTTACCCACAGAGATCCTGCTCTTGTTTTAGGCTTGGATCTCTGGAAAATCTTTTGTCTCTCTTGATTGGATCTTTATAGTGTGTACTGCATGGGCTTAAAGGAAAATTAAAAAGGTCAAGTATCATTGAGTTGACCTTGAAAGGAGTAAACAATTAATCTAAAGATCGCAGTGTTGTTCTTTTATGAGGCTCATTTTTGTTTGCTTTTGTTTTTTGGCCAGCTAGGCTAAGGCGTTCAAGTACTTGGGCCTTCATCATACTGTTGCTTTCCTCTACTTGTGTTAATACAGATATTAAGTCTAATAGTATCTACTTAGCATAAACAAGAAGATAAAAATGATTTCTATGATTGAAATGTTTGTTATTTAGCATTAAGCATCTTCCTACTCCCATGCGTTTTGCATTTTAATCCACTCGGTGCTTGGTTTGGGGATTGCTAGATTAGTTTTAATCCCCTGTCTAATAGTGGAGTAGTGGTGAGATTTATTACACAGACAGGGTTTGGTTCTTGGATTTAAGAGGGCTCACATGCACTCTTCCTGCATATTAAATTTGGGAAACCACTGGTTCAGTATAAAAGGTTGGGGAGACATCCTTTATCTCAGAATGGTTCTCTTTAGGCACACAAAGTGCAGACAGCATTTATTGCATTAATGAAAAGAAAATTGATTACAAGTGTTTTTCTCTTTTGGGGTCAGACTAATGTTCTCAGAATCTGTTTTTTTCTCCTCTTAAAAATGTGCTCCACTATCATTTCAAAGTGTTCTGCATGTTTACTTTATTTCTTGGGAGGCCAGCTCCGAAGGAAAGTGAAATACCTTATTATATAATGGGTTCTTCCCAAGAAAAATGGAAAGGGTTGAGTGCAACCCAACTAGGGCAATAAATATTTTCAGAAACCACAGAAAAATAGGATAGATCACTATTCCTGGGAAACCTAATAATTGCCAAAATGTCTCCAAATTGATATAAAAACCTGTTATTTTGAACATGGGAAGCTTATATTATTTCAATATTTTCTGTGTTTCACATGATAAGTCACAAGCTAAAATGTAAGATTCTGGTTAACAGAAAACTTTGCATCACCATATTGTGACCTTCACATTTTGGGGTTTAATGAAGAAAAGTAATGTTGGAGCAGAACTTGTAGTAGTGGCTTATATTTTCTTCCTTTGTTCCTCCTAAGTGATTTCACCATAGGGAAAAGAATGGAATGTATTATGTAGTAAGTTATGAATAGACAGGTGCTGGGACTAACTTGTGTTATTGGGTAGAAATTCAGAATTTTATGGTGTCAAAATGCCGTCCAATATTTTACACGAATCTTACCCACAGAACTTGAACTTTCATCTGACAAATTTAACCTGTGACCCAGGAAATCTTACATAGTTTGTATTTCAAGGCTGTTTTTCTCCCCATTAAGGTGTGATCCTCTAAAGCAAGGAGTCATTAGTTTCCTAATAAAAACACAGAGGTGCTCCAACCAGGGCAAAACAGTTCAGCTTACTTAAGAGCCAAATTGTTACTTAAGAAACAACATTTTCTCTTTATGATTTGAGAATTCAAAGGAGCCCTTCTATGTTATTTGTTCCTTTAAAATTTGACTTTTGGTTTTGTTTCCAAATCTACATTTTATTCATTAAATTTGTTTGGTGCTAGCTGAGAATATAAGTAACTGAAAGTTAGTATTATCGATTTCCTTGAGAGAAAAGAAGAAAGAAGCATTCTCTTGGAATGTTACTAACACTCTGATTTGAAATTCCACTAAATGTGACTTTTCATATATACAGTGAATAATATAAATAAATGGACTTCATAGTCATTTTACCATTTTTGGACCTCAGTCTAGCTTTTGAACATCTCTACCCATCAGGCGTAAGTAAGCTGTTGGATTTGATACTCTCTAAGGTACCTTTTGGCTCCAGGATTCTGTGATCCTATGAGTTAATGCCAGACAGAAATCTACAAACTTGGTAACTTGAAGTTTTGAAAACTCAGCCAATTTAAGTTTCGAAATAGTTCTTTCACACAGAATGAAGCATTAGTATGATAGTAATACTCTATCTTGCATTTCATCACCATTCAAATGCTAGCTCCAGGAGAGCAGGGACATTGTTTATCTTGTTCATTATTGCTTCCCCAGAGTATAGAATTCACATCTAATAAGTGAATCAATTAATGGATGGATGGATGATTGGATCTTATATGGAAGTCTCTTCTGTATAAATTCTCCGACAAGAACATCTTCGTATATAGTCACATGCCACATAAATCATGTATGTAAATGATCGTGGTTCCGTAAGATTATAATGGAGCTGAAAAACTCCTATTGGCTAGTGATGTCTAATTATCCTAACATTGCAGCCTACGCATTACTTTTTCTGTGTTTGGATATGTCTAGATACACAAATAATTAACATGATGTTATAATTGCCTATGGTGTTCAGTACAGTAACATGGTGTACAGGTTTGCAGCCTAGAAGCAATAGGCTACACCATATAGCAGGGGTCCTCAAGCTTTTTAAACAGGGGGCCAGTTCACTGTTCCTCAGACCTTGGAGGGCCATTGGAGAGTGCGGCGCGCATTCCACACGTGCGCACTGTGGGCCCGTGACGAGTCGGCTGCTAAGCAGGACAGGCAGCAGCGGCAAAAACACCCGGTGGGCTGGATAAATGTCCTCGGAGGGCGGCATGTGGCCCGTGGGCCATAGTTTGAGGACGTCTGCCATATAGCCTAGGTGTGTAGTAGGCTACACTATCTAGGTTTGTGTAAGTACACTCTGTGATGTTTGCACAATGATTACATTGCCTGATACATTTCTCAGAATGTGTTCTCATGTTGAAGTGATGCATGACTATACAGACTTACAGGCCATATTCTTTTTAAACATTAGGGAGTGCATTCCACAGTTATTCAGGCTATACAAAGGGTGGGGAGGACGGGTTTGAATCTGGGGGCCAAAATTGAACTATGGCACATTTCCATAATATATATGTATATGTGTATATATAATAACATACATTATATAATGCATATGTATGTGTATATATAAAATACAAAATGTAATCAGTCACAGATGCAAAGACAGCCCAAATCAAGATTTTAGACATTTTAAAGAAAAATTTTAGGTGACTATTTCTGTTTAAATAAATACAGTATAAATATGCCATATAAAGGTACTATATAAATATACCATAGTGCAGTGCTTTGCAAACTTAAAGTGCATATGGATCACCTGGGGATCTTATTAAA